GAAACGGCTGAAACATATAGACAGTGTTTGTAATCCAGAGCTCACAATACCCCCAAAAAAAAGATAGAGATGCCAACTCTGCATGTACTGTAAATACCTACCTTAAGTTTTTAAACCTATTTGTTCAATTGACATTTTAAATCTAGTTCACATTATGATAAAAATTTTAACTGCCGTGCTATACAATATAGCATGTTAATTTTTGTATAATTGCATTGAGAAGACATATGTTTTCTTGTCTTTGTTAAAAGCTTTAAAAAAAGGAATTTACAAAAAAGTAAGTTTATACAAATTAAATAAAAACAGTGCTGATAAAAATGAAAACGGTCTAACCTACCTACAAAAACAACAAAAATGTAGGGTAATACATAATATAACATCATTATAACCATCATTTCAAATAAGATGAATTCAGTGTTTAATTTGATCTTCAAATTTTAAAAAAACGGGTGCATCTAATCACTGTTACTTTGCATAATTTAATGAAATTAGCATTATTATCATTTTTAAAAATTACAAGCAGCAATTTTCAGTTCTGGTAGGCATGTTTACATGTCTTTCAATGAATATGTTTCCTTTTTCAATGGTTTCTTTATAAACACAAATCTAAAATGCAGCTGCAGTTTACACAGCTCGCCAGCTTAGGTTTTCAAACATTCATCATTATTAAAATGCTTGTCATCTGTTTAAAAAGTATGCACTGAATGGCATATGTTTTTACACATCAGCAAGTATTGTAGTTCATCCAATTCTTGTGTAGTGTGTTATTTTATTTGTTTTTGAGAAAACTCATACTGTTTGCACCTCATTTTGCTTTACTTGTAATTCCATGAAAACAAAGCATGCAGCATTGTGTAAGCTTGTCAAATAGAATCATAACTGTAAACGCATCTGACTACAGAGCGGAGATTATGTGCCTTACACTGAAGGTACAAAATGGCATTCCAGTGACTTCTATTGCAGTATGAAAAGAAGACAATAAAAACCACAAATCAGGAAAACTCTATATTGATGTGCAAAACAAGAAAAAATACAGCAAAAGGTCTTTAAAGAAATGATTACGGACTAAACAGAAAATAACTATCATCTACTGCAAGTTGCTGTAAATAAATGTAACATATATTCTTTAGGCTGATATTTTGCCCATAAAATGTAAATCTAATTTTTTTTTTTGAAAAAAAAACAAACACAGTCAAGGGGATTCAATATCGTGTTTGCCCTAAAATTCGGCGCTAATGCAGCCTAAAAAATGACTGCCCCAAATTCTATAACATGCTGCGGCATTTTTCGGTCCTCTACCAACTTCTGTGGCAAATTCAAGTAGTTCTTATTTGTGCCATACTTCATTCTGGTGCTATGCTTGTGACATATTATTCAATAAATAGGTTGTAGAGAAGGACTTGTCAGACTCCTTACCAGAAATCCCAATGATAGGGATGGGTGCTGAACTGACTGCGGATGGCGCCACCATTACATAAGTTTGGTAGAGAAGAATGTCACCAGTCGATGTTGAGCCTGATGAAGGGACCCTGCGAGGTCACGAAAGCACTTGTTTTTCAACTGACAATCTGTTCAATAAAATTAACAATTGATTATCCTAAAAGGATTTTGGTGTGCTGGTGACATTCTTCTCTACCAAACTTAAATTCAATAAATAAACTCCAATAGTTCTGTACTTCTGCAAGTACATTTTTGGTGTAACTAGTCTGTTGCACGTTTATTTTGCATATGTTTGTCGCAGTATGCGACACATACCTCAGGTGCAACATTCCTTAATGATGGGGGAATGATGGGGGAGTCAAGATTTTAAAACATTTGGAAGAAACATTATCTGATTCTTAACATCTTGGAAATGTGAAAAAGATGTAGAATTAATGGGCTTGATTTGTAAGAATTGTAGAAAAAAAATGGCTTTGGCATTGTCTGATAAAGAATGAGATCCATTTCTCTTATTTTCTGACTAATACATAAACAGTTGCTGTTGAAATACAATTGGTTGCTGTGAAATCTGTGTAAATCTTTTGTGTAAGCAAAATGATCTGTATGAATTTGACTAAATTACAATAAATTAAAACTAACAGTGTGTTGAGCTAATACAACTTAAACACATACAAATTCTGTGTATTTTGTGAACATGACAATAAATATAGTGCAATACCACAAAGCAAATATATAGGGGTCTATTCATTAAGCTGCCGAAGGAATTAGCTGTAGCTTCGACTGATCCTTCGGCCAGCTTCGGCCCCAGGACCCCTTTGGTTCAGTAGAACCGAAGGGCTCCTCTTAGGGCTATTCACTTTAGCCCGTACATGTAATGCGCCTAATTGCTCTGTCAGGATCTCAACTGCAGAGTCGGGTTGCATCAACTGGAGCACGTCTCCTAGTTGATTGAATCTTGTAACGGGTGAAATCAGTCGGAGCTTCAGTGCCACACTCAATCATAAAACGAACAGTTTTGAAGCTACCAGCATCATTTATCACCGGATCTAAACTGAAATCGTATTTAGCACGAAAGTGTTTCTTGGTATCATACAAGTATAATTTGTAATGGTAGGAATGCAGCACACGTCACATGAAGCAGTACATGAAATACCAGTATGAGGTTGATAGCAGTATGTGCGAGCAGTTAATACAGCAGTTATAGGTACCTCCCCGTTATGAGCACAGTATACACAGCAGTGATGGCAAAGCAGGTTTTTCCTAATAGCAGTAATGTAACAATCACTACATGCAGCTGGTAAATGTAATGGTAGCAGTCTCTAATACCAGAGCACACTGACAAGGGGTACTTGCGGTATTGTGGAGAAAAGAACCTTCCACGGGTAGATCCCAGAACAAGGCTGTAGGGGAGAGGTTCCCTCCGTCTGCTGATAGATTGTAGGTTTGTCCCAGGGGAGATAGCAGGGCACACACTCGTTTAGTGGAACGCCGCTGCTATGCTCTTCCCCTGTATAAATAGAGCCCCTTGATTGGACAGGGTCTGCCGGCGTCTAACGGCCGTTGCGTTCCACTGTGGAACGCAAGCCGCGCGTCTCGCTATGGAACACGTCGGTGTTGCGCTCCAGGGTGAAACGCAAGACGCCGAATCCATTACAGTACAGCTCCTGAAGTCGGCCGAGCGGCTCAGTCGAGCCGAAGGCATATGCTTCGCCTACACTGAGCCGAGGTGAAAGCCGAAGCTGGCCGAACAACAGCCTGCTACTGACTGTTGGGTGGAGCCAGCCGTCATCTCACGGCTGGCTCCGGCCACTTGCACAGACAGATCAGTGTCCCTGGTTATCAGGTAACCAGGGACACTGATCTCCAGACAGCCCAACTCTCCCGGACGCTCCAGGAGTCCCCCGCTATTAGATAGCGGCTCCTGGCCACCCATGAGAGAAACACTTTCTCCCAGAAAGGTTTACTCTGCTCGACCGAGCAGAGTATACCTTTCCCTGCTCTGTTTTTTTACTTCTTTTTTTTCTTCTTCTGACATTGGAGTCGTTGGCTGCCGTCAGAATAAAAAAAAATCACCATAGGAATGCATAGCTAGATTCCTATTGGCTATTTCAATTTGCAATAGCCAATAGCAAACTAGCTATTGCACCCGCCCACTGCTGCTGTCAATCAGCAGAGGGGACCTGAAGTTCTCCATCAGGTCCCCTCTAGTGATTGACAGCAGCAGAGGGCGGGTGCAATAGCTAGTTTGCTATTGGCTATTGCAAAGTGAAATAGCCAATAGGCATCTAGCTATGCATTTCTATGGTGTTTTTTTTTTTTTATTTGATTTATTCTGACGGCAGCAGAACCGCCGGCCAATAGAAAACAGTTGGGTGGAGCTACCTGTCACTGCTAGGTCCGCCAAATCGTTTTCTATTTATTTTTTACTACTTTTTTAACTGTTTTTCTATTCTACTCTGTACCACAGAGGTACTGAGCAGAATAGTCGTACAAGCCTGAAGTGAATAGCCGAGTTCGGCTCAGTTCACTTTGGGTCATTTATTCACTCGGCTGCCTACAGAAGCTTAGTGAATAGACCCCATAGTGCTCAAACAATAAATATTTCAAATAGATAGTGCATCCAAAACATATAACAAAGTGCATCCAACAGATTCTGTGACCACAGTTATTGTTTGAGCACTGTATATTTGTTTTGTGGTATTGCACTATATTTATTGTCATGTTCACAAAATACACAGAATCTGTATGTGTTTAGGTTGTATTAGCTCGGCACGTTGTTAATTTCAATTTATTATTTTGTGTACATCTGTTACCGGGGTAGACATTGAGTGCTTTGCAGCTTAGAGTTATTGACCCTTGGCACAGTTTGATTGTTATTATATTATCTAAATTACAGTTTTCCACCTACTTCAAGAATGAGAGTGATAGTTATATTCATTTTATATACCCTTACATTTACAATTGCTTGGCCATAGTCTTCAACTCTTTTCCATACTTGTGTGCTATATGAACTGAATCAGTTATTTCCCAAAGTAAAAGAAATTTGAATGCAGCTATGCTACCTTAAATTTATTAGTTACAAATCTCTAATTGTAAGCTTTTGTAGACTGTATTGTATATGTCTTCTCCACAGAGGTATGTAGACTATGTGATAAATCAGCATATGTATTCTTGAAGCCCATCAGTTCACTACAATATCTGCAGTGACAATGATCACTAATGTATTTGTTTTATTTTAAGCAAATCGTTTTCTATCTTATGAAGATGGTTCATTTCACAAAATGTTGGTGTCTGTGCTCTTTAACCACTAAAGGTTCATACCCTAGGTACATAGACCCTTAGTAAAAATTGGTGTTGCACTGACGCTACTCATGAAATGCTATCATGAGCAGGGTTATCTTTGCACATGGGTGCCTTTGTTGTAGCAAACACAAGGCATTAAAATAGATGGGACAAGTTCTGCTAACAATATTTATACGTTGATGTCTAGTTAGGCCCAGCATAATATGTTTTAAGGTTCCTATTGAATACTGTGCATTTCCCTCTTTTTTTTCTACCAGGATGACAAAGAAATTGACCTGGAACATCTCCACCGACGTGTAAACAGCCTGTGCACTGATGATGAAAGCCCTCATAAACAGTTTTCCTCCTCATCGGTTGATCTAACTCCATTAGACATTGACACGTTGCCAACGCGGCAAACTCTGGAGCAAATAAGTGATTTCAGGAATACTCATATAACCACTACAACCTTTATACCAGAGCAGATACAGACACTTAGTCGTACCTTGTCAACGAAAGCTGCTTCTGGTTTCTCATTTGGAAATGTACCTGAGCACCGAACTGGTCCCTTCAGGCATAGGGCACCCAATGGTGGATTTTTCCGAAGTCCAATTAAAACTATGTCATCTATCCCATACCAGCCAACTCCCTCTCTGGGGCTCAATCTTGGCAATGATCCTGACCGAGGTACCTCTATATGAGCCTTAGAGAGCCCTCATCATTGTTTTGTTCTGGGACTCTCTTTGCCAGGAGCATCTGTAAAATGATTGGACTAACATGGATGTATTTTTTTATATCCAAAATATTAATAACGATTTTTGACTTCTCACTTTATTCTTCCTCAATCCTTTGTCTGTAAATGTGTTTTAGAACTTCTAAATCCACTTCATTGGCTCACTTATTGTTATTTTTTTGTTTTATTCTTCTTAGTTTTGTTTGGAACGTTAATGTATAATGATGATTCTCCCTTTGGTTTGACAGATACATCTGCAATAACTGAAATTGTTTGCATCTGTTTAATGATTCTCCTATGTACTCTGCTGCTGTTGTGTCCTGTAACTGTGGACCAAAGGCTAACCCCTGCAGTATAGAACAAAAAAGTTATTCAGGCCAAAAGATAAAATAATGCAATTTTGTAGAACTACAACAAGCCATTACTATGCCAGTAAAGAATACATTTAAACATATGTTGCACTGTAGCAGTGCATTTGTAAATTAGTCCATTTCAATTTTTTTTAATGTACAGCATATTTTTGGTACAAGTTTCCATCATTTCATAAATGTGTGTGTATGTATGTATGCTAGATAGTGTATGCATACATGTGCTTATACATTGTGGATCGTGTCAGAATCTGAATAATGGACATTCTTCTTGGATAACATCATAAAATTATTTGATAGCATATTTTCAGATTTATTAACAGATCATATATCTGTAAGGAAAACTATGGAAAAGAAAGGACAAAGTTATTTTTTTCTGTCTTTGTGGGGGGTTTTTCTTTTTGTTTTATAAAAAGTGATAATCAATTTAGAATATAAATGCCTTAATAGAACAGAGCAAAACCAGGGTATGTGCTTGAACCCAATTTTAACTCTAGTGGAAACAGGGACTTGCAGACTTTTGACGGGAACCGCTAAATCAATGCAATAGTACCCTGCAGATGAAGGGAATGGCAGCATTCCAACATAGTACTAAGTCATTTTTAGTAAAATCTTAAACCATAATTGACAAAATGTTAGCAAAAAATGATTTTGCTGTATTCATATTGATATGCTATAGTTTACTTCATCCTATTTTCTGCAGGCTTGCAGTTTAAAACTTCTCTATGCTGACATTAAATTAGAAAAACACACAATAATATGCCTGATCTTACCTTCAACCTATGGCCTCTGTTAGAGCCTCCTCAATATTCTGGTACTCCTTGGTATGGGGGAGATGTGACATGCCTTTTGTTTCCCATAAAGTAGTTATCAGTGCTAGAATGCTGTTACTTGGGGAATCTGAATTACTGCAAGTAGGATATAAGATATTCAAGAGGCTCCAGAAGAAAAACTTTAATTCAAAACTTTTTTTAAAAGATTTTGTCAATGGTCTTTGGGAATGTGTTTAATAGAATTTTGTTACGAGAGCTTTTTGGGGTTGATTTACTTAGCCCGATACTGATATGAGCAGTGGTTATTCTACCTTGGAAAAATATAATGCTCGTATGCCTGTGCATCCCAGCACATGCTCACAAGGATGAACACGACCTTGTCTGATAGTCAATCGCTCAGCTGTAGCTCGCAAGTTAGGTGGCAAGTTAATGTGTGTTCCTAGTTCTCTCAGATCCAATGTCAAATTGAAAGATAAGTAATTGACTTACTAAGTTAATTGACACATACTTACTGTATATTACTTAGTCTGGCCATATAAGGTTGAAAAAAAACTCGGTCACAAAAGGTTTAAGCAATTAAGGGAAACTATAATGGTTTGGGGGAAATTTTATTTGTTTTATTTTTAAAGATTTTTTTGAACTTGAATTTAAATTTGTATATGTTAAAAAACTTCAAAAATAGATATCTTTCACATAAGCAGTAATCAACAGTGGCTTCACACAAATGGCCACAAAGGAACCCTATTTAAACTCCAAAGCTTCTCTGAGAATAAGCATCTCACATCATAGACAAGGAAACCTGTTACACATTTAAGCATAAAAAAGAGAAGAGCCTAGTCCTTGAGACATATGCCTTTATTAATTAAAATGAATCATAAAACAGTTCTCAACAAATCAGAATTAGAATAATTGCTCATAAAATTCATAACCAGATCACACCAGGCAGAATCCGCTCAAATGCTTGAAACCTTCACACATATCTGTCTCCGAACGCTGACCTCAGCCAATAGTGTGCGATAAGAATTATGGCTAATGCCTTTCTGTAGCTAAGCCTCCGCTCCTTCTAATGAGCATGGTTTTCAGTTAGGAATGCACATATGTTTCCTACACACGCACATAGGAAATTTCTATACTCCTGCTATATACTGGGCAGAAGTTTTATAAGAACACCCAATATTACAAATAAGGTATTCTTGCTGCATCCTTGGAGATTGACAGCCTCTGACTAAACTGCAACCTTAGTAAATAATTTCCTCAGAACCGAGAAAATTGCAGTCCCTGGCCATTTCAGTTCCTTATCGAGCAGCTATTTATCAAATGATGAAAACTCTCTACAATAACTTAGCAGGTGTAGGGCAATTATCCAATGTAAGCTTTATTCAGATGTACCACATTATGCATAACATATAACCATGGACTGTACACACATGGCATGTATGTGTGCAGAAGTTATGTGTGCAAGCAAACCATCATAGCCCATACAATAAAGCTTTAGTATAAACTAAATACAAAAAGTATAATATAAGCAGAAGTATATACCTTATAGAATTCTAATAAAAAATAGTAATTTTTATATCATCTGTCATTTTCAGAAAATGCTAAATAGTTGTGCAATTTATCAGTTATTTAGTATGCTGAGATCTTAATGTTATGGTTTTGAATGGGATGTTTAACAGAGTGCTAAGTATGTTGGGGTACTTGAGTGTTTTAACATTTTTTAAACTTTGAAATACATGATATAGTATTAATGCAAGTGGGGAAGTATTATAAAGAGCAAAAAAGTATAAAAAGTTATAAAGCATATGCTTTACTCTCCAACACTAATGTAAATGTTAAATGCAATCTGAAATAATATACCACTCAAACAGAATTTTTATAAACACAGATTTTATTTTATGCTTACTATTCAGCTATATAGGAGGTATTTATAACACTGAAGTATGTGCGTTTGTGTATGTATATATATATATATATATTTACATAGA